ACTCTTTTTATAAAAACCAAAAAGGAGGATATGCTAATTGTTCAAATTTATGTTGATAATATTATTTTCGGTGCTACTAATGAAAATTTGTGCAAAGAGTTTGCTAAAGATATGTAGGGTGAATTTAAAATGAGTATGATGGGAGAGTTAAATTACTTCCTTGGTCTACAAATTAAACAAACCAATGATAGGATCTATTTAAATCAAACGAAATATATCAAGAATCTACTCAAAAGGTTTTGAATTGAATCATCAAAGGCTGCAGCAACTCCAATGAGCACATCAATAAAAATCGACAAAGATAAGCAAGGTAAACCTGCAGATAAAAGAAATATCAAGGTATGATCGGTTCTTTACTCTATCTTACTGCAAGTAGACCCGATATAATTGTATGTGTGCACATTTTCAATCCGCACCTAAAGAGTCGCATATCACTATAGTCAAACATATTTTCAGATATCTTGTTGGCACTCCAAATTTAGGATTACGGTATCCTAAGGGACCTTTGAACTTTTTGGCTACTCGGATACTGACTTTGTGGGATGTAGACTTGACCAAAAAAGCACTAGTGGTACTTGTCATTTTTTGGGACACTCACTCACTTCTTGGTTTTGTAAAAAACAAAACTCAGTGGCTTTGTCAATTGTTGAAGTAGAATACATTGCTGCTGCTGGGTGTTATGCACAATTGCTTTGGATGAAACAACAGCTTCAATATTTTAGACTTCACTATGATCATATTTCTATAAAATGTGACAACACAAATGTCATTAACCTTTCAAAAAATCCATTTAGCACTTATGCACTAAACACATTGAAATAAGGCATCATTTTCTTAGAGATCACGTACTCAAATGTGACATTGAACTTGAATTTGTGCCTACATATTGTCAATTAGCTAATATATTTACCAAGCCTCTTAATGGAGAACAATTTTGTTATATTAGAACTAAACTTGGTATGATGAATACTCTCTTATAATAATTATACATAAAATAAAATAAAAAATAAATAAATAACTTAATTTTTTTTAAAAATCCTCTTTTTCTCTCTTTGCTCACCCACTCATCATCCCACTCTCGCTCTCGCTCTCTATTTCTCTCTCTCAACCACTCTTCATCTCTCTCTTTCTCTCACTCTCTCTCGTCCGCTCTCATTCTCACTCTCTATTTTTTCTTTCTCATCTGCTCTCTTTCTCCCTCTCATCCTCCGACACCATCTTCATCTCCACCATCATCTATCTAAATCCATCCCTAATCTTCTCCATCATCGCAATTCATCACCATCATCATCTATCCAAATCCCTTACCGATCTATCAAAATCCATCACAAATCTACATAAATCCATCACCGATCTACCAAGATCTATCGTCGATTTACATCATATTCATTACCGATCTTCACCATCATTTCTGATCCTCTCCATCGACGCAGATCTACATTATTATCACCGATCTTCACCATTGTCACCAATCTTCATCATTGTCAACAATTTTTACATCCACCAGCATCTTTTGCCCGATTAACATATTAAAATTATTTTTGCACTGTGTTATATTTCTTATATGGTTGTATGTGCTACAAACTCTCTTGTATTTAATAACAATTGCTTCTACCTGGTATGAAGAAATTATTTTTATTTGTATTTTCTCTTTTTATGCTAGTGCACTCGATGCAGTTGTTTATAGCCGGATCTTAATGGCCCTTGGTATTATAAATTGGTAATCTATTTCTTTCAATTTTTGTAATTTTTAGTGCATTAATTTACGAGGAGACTTGTATTATGTAATATTTTGAGATTAAAAAAAATCAAAGAAGCACAATCTTAAGGGGCATTTGTATATTCTATGCATAATTTCAGGGGGAGTATATATAGTTATCAACTAATTGTTTTACTCCTTATCTGCACTAACAAATTTTTTTATAGCAAAGACATACAATTTTTTCAAAGAGAAATGCTTGTAATTTTATTTCAAAAGGAGAAAATATTGCTAGATTACATGTAAGTTTTGAGAAGGCTTCACAAATTTTTTGTATTTAACTTCTCTCAATAGTTTTTATGAGCCTCCTTTACATGCCTTTCTCTATTTTCAACTTCTATGAGTCTTGGCATTATAACCGTTGCATAATGTTGCACCGCATTCTCCAACTGAGAATTTTTCCTATCTAGATCTCTCTTCTCCTGACAAGTATTAGCCAGTTGTCGTTTTAAATAGCTCACCTCATCTTTCAATTGCTGATTCTCTTGTATTTTTGCTTGTAGTCGTCGAGCCATATTGGACACTGCATTCATCGTTTGTGTACTAAGAGTTATAGTGTTGTTAATAGCATCGATATCACTATGATTACCAAAACACTAGGACTCTTGTTTACTGGAATTGCGTGTGACTGTACTATAGGTAACCTCTCATTTGCCTAAATTACAGGTACCTCATTCATGTTTGAACCATTGATTGTTAAGGTAAGGAATGACATGATTACACAGAAAGTAAACAAATTTTTTCTCCAAGAATACTTGAAGATTTTGTATCTCTGCATATTATCTATGTCATTTTTTGTACACACCACCGATCCAATAATCGATTCATATCTACTCAAATCTCTTGTTTGTCAACATTTTGGGTGTCGTTGTACCATTTTTTTGGAGATAATACAAAATCCCAAACATGATCACGGGAAGAAATAAGAAACATTATTATATTTTTGGTAAATTAGATTATTTTCTCAAATGTGTTTATATGATTTTCGTTTTGGGCACTAAAATTTTTTCTTCTCTATAAAAACTTCATATATCAATATTTTATTTTGATGATATCAAAATGGGAGAAAAAATGTGAATTTGAATTCTTGTGCGTGTGCTTTAATTATCAAATATTTTATGTTGCAAAGTTATCAAATATTTTATTAATTTTAATTTTGTGTCAAATCCATACATGTATTGCCATCATAAAAAATGAGGAGATTGTTAATCACATTGTTTAATTTTGATAATGTCTAAAATATTATTTGATAAAACGTGATTTTCTAATATATATATATATATATTTTACATTCATCTGACACAAAATATATTTTGTATATTGCACCGTTTATAAAAATATTTGATTTATATTGTGTATCTTTTGAATATACGATGTGTATACTCACACACATATATAAATATATGTGATATAATATACAATAAATGTTAGTGGCATGCATACTATATATATATTATAGTAATTTGACTACCTAGCATCATTTCCCATTAGACTCCACACACACACACACACACACACATATATATATATATTATAATAATTTGAATACCTAGCATTATTTCCTATCAGTTTTTTCCATGATGAGGTGTCACCTGATGATTAGTCAAAAAAAGAAGAGGAGCGTCTCCTCTTCCAACGGGTATATTTTTTAGTATAAATATAAGTGTTTTGTATGGACAAAAATAAAGGACTTGAAGAAAAAAAGAAAAAAGAAAAAATTTGTGTGCTCCAAAATTTTGAGTATTTTGTACTTTGCTCTTTCACTTTTAGATCTAAGTATTATCTTTATACTTACACTTTCATATCTACTATTTGTGAGAGAATTATTGTAAAAGAGGGTTGAAGTACCTCTTATCTTTACTGATTATTTTGTGAGAGAAATTTTATAAGAGTGAGGCATTTATTGTTAAGTGAGACTCAACAGATAAGAGTAAGACCTATGTAAAATCCACAAGCTAGGTGAAGCTTTGGTGTTGCATTGATTCGTTTTGATAGTAAAGAAATTCTCGAGGAGAATCCTTGAGGAGTGGACGTAGGCCTGACATGCCGAACCATTGTAAATCTCTGCGTTTGATTTTCTCTCCCTATCTCTTTTATTTTTATATTGATTATTATTGCTTTGTTTTTATTTGTTAAAATTTGAATATTTAGATTACTATATTTAACATTGTGAAATTATTTTTAATAACTCAATTGACCTCCCTATTGGGTTGCCTACCTGGGATAATAACCTTTTTCCTTATGCCTTAAGAACAATGAGCTGTGGGGAAGCCATGGAGATGCAAACAGATGATAGGGGGTTACAAAGTTCAACGCCGCCCAAGATAAGCTAAACTCATTTGAACTTGAACTTGCCTTGTTTATTAAACGAGCCTAAAAGTTATGTTCAAGCTCGTTTATTTACTTAACAAGTTGAGTTGAGCTCGCAAACAATTTGATTAATTTGTAACCCTAGTTTTGGTGTTGTCAAAACTCAAAATTGTATTAGACATGTCAAAAAATCAAATCTTTATCATTTAAACTTCAAATTTTAAATGTTGATTGCAACTCTTTCATGGAATCAAAATATTTATTTGTTGTTTAAAACTTTAATTTTTTTAATTTTTTAATTTTCAAATCAACACCTATCATTTGTAAAATTCTCCTATACACATTAGTCAGACTCCCAGTTTTAATTTGAAGAACTTTAACTAATTAACTACTTACAAATATTAAAATATATTTAGAAGTAATTAACCATCAATCTTACTGAAGAAAATTATATAGCAAAAATTATGAAATAACCACTACAACAAAACTGAATTTTTACGGCTTTACATCAACAACATACAGTAAATGCAAGCCGTGGTTTCTCATTTTTACGACTTGCTTTTTTTGTATGTTGTAAATAATTTCCCAACCACAGCGTGTCTATTGCGTAGGTAGTGAGTGCTAATGACAATGATTTTTTTTGCAGCTTGCAATGCTAGCCGTAAATAATAAAACTTTTTACGGTGTGCATATGCCATGTCGTAAATGCATCAACTATACATGACACGCGTACACCAATTGTTAAAAATATTGAACATTTCACAGCGCACAAAAAGTTAGCCGTTAAAAATTGCACTTTCCACGACGCACAAAAAGCCAGTCATTTAAAATACTGCACTTTCCATGACGCGCAATTACTGTTGTGAAAGGGACGGCCGAAAAAAAAAAGTAGCCCCAAAATAAAAATTTTGATCGGCTAAACACCAAAAAATTTATAAAAAAAAAGAAGAAGAAAGAGGAAAGAAACAATCCAAAGCCCCAATTTTTCAGCCCCAACATCAATCTTAAAAAAAAAAACTCAAAGCATTTTCTGTGTAGTGAGGAGGGCAACAAAGAAGAAGAAGAGACATTGTGATGAATCCTCCATCTCCATCACCATAACTTACCTTTCTTCCTTCACCCCCTAACCCTAACCCTAACCCTAACTTCTTCTATTCTTATCTCCACCACCATCACTCTTCCACCACCACTACCACCACCAACTCAATCATTTCACCACCGCTACCTCCGCCTCTATCGTAGCGTCCTAATCTCGCAACCGCTCTCTCAACACTCAAACACCTCATCCACCTCTCTGAAACCACCCTCCACTCCATCTCCACTCTCCTCCCCACAACCGCCACCACTACCGCCCTCTGCCCCTGCCCTTTCAATTTCTACCACCGCCTTCCGTCGGAATCCCTTTTCTGGCACTCCCTCCGATGCCCTTCTTCCCTTTCTCCTCTTCTCAACCTTGACCTCCTCCTACTCCAATCATTGCGATACCCCAACGCTCCCAGACCCTCCCAATAACTCTTTAATCAGAACTGCTTCCTTCAAACCCTACACTATCCCAACTGCGACCTCTGCTTCACTCTCGACGATTACTCCGACTTCAACCCCAATTTTTCTACCGTAATTGCCCCAACGTAGTTAACTCTGCCGATTGAGATAGTTTAAGCTGAACCTTCACTCTCCCAGGTATTCTATCGATTCAGTGTGCAAATTTTGTAGGCAGTGATAATGGTGAAATTAAGGGTTTTTTTTCTTGGGATTGTGTTAGGCTTTTTCCTTTGGAGTTGTGGCTTATTAGGAGCGGAGCAAAATCGAGTCGTGGAGGGATTATCCTATTGCTTATTCATATAGAGTTCTTCGGATCATTTTTTGTTTTGTTATGGTTGAAGATTGTGATTTCCTTAGATAAGTAATTGTGAATTTGCCTCGTTATGATGTTGTGATTGATGTGCCCATGAGGGACTATATAGTTTTTCTTTTTCAGCTTTGTTTGAAAGCAATTATGAGGGAAGCTACTAGTTCGGTGGATTTAGTATTGAATAGAGATGCTCGGGAGTTGAATTCGGCTGTTACGAGTTTAAAGTGTCCCATTTTGGACCTCAAAGCCTGTCATTGATGTCACTTTGCTGGATGACGTATGCGATCGCGGTGCTATTTTTTAAAGCAACAGGTTCTTGTTGCTTTAGAGGGAAGTAGGCAGATGTTTTTGTTTGTTATATGATGAAATTGAATTGGAATTTTACTGTAATTGAGTGAAATTATTGGATTGTCTGGTGAATATGAATGTGTAATTATATATATATATATATATGTGGAATTAAGAAAAAATGCTGGGTAATTAGGCAAAATTGAGTGAAAATTTATGTTAAAATTGTAGGGGTTAGTTGATGAATCTGCTGGAATTGTCAATTGTTTGGTAAAATAAGTTGACATTCAAAAAAAAAAAAAAAATCTTCCCTTTTCTTGGATTCTAAAGGAATATTTATCTCAAAAAACCCTCCAACTTTTGTTCCATATACTAGTACCTTTGTAGTGTCTCTCTCTTCATTACTTTGCTCTCTAATACTCTGTTCTTCTCCACCCCCACAGCTTTCCACTGTTGTCACTGTTGCAGATGATGGTTCAGATTCTTCTCCAGCTTTCTCTCCCAAACGAAGGGAGCTTTCGTATACTACTGTAAAGCTCTCTACATATTTTATTGAATTTGAATGATTTAGCAACTTAGAATTGTTTGAAATTGATTTGAGTGCTGGTAATAATTTGAATTTAGGTTGAGAAGGTAGATAAGAATAAGAAATTCATAGAGGTTGTTGATCGTGAAGATAAGGAAAATGATGATTGGCTACCTCTATCTCCTAAAGTTTCAGCTGATACACTGAAACTTGATGAGGATTCAACTATAAAGGAGTTGAGGTATATTCCCTTTTTTGGTTTCAACTTAATGGGTTAGCTCAAGAATTCATTTTATGTTTTGTGACACCCTAGCCTTCTCCTCCCCTATATCTGATATTTGGTTGTTTTGATTATGTGTTTTTGTATATGGTGAAAATTGATTGAATAGGAGTAGAGCTTAACACTTGGTATGATTTTAGCCCCTGTCTGCTCTGATTTTGTTCATATGCATTAACTTTACCGATTTTCTAAAATTCACCCAAAAAAAAAAAATCATTTTGCTCGGAAATTTTGATATACCCTCTATCAATGAGTTATTGGTATACTCGCATTTTTGTAAGATCATGGGATGCGTTTTGAGTTTCGAAAACCTCTTGTCTTTATGGTTGGATTCAACAGATTTCTAGGAGTAGAAGTTAGCCCTCACTTTCTATGCCATTTTCTCTAAAAAATTCCTTGTGGAGTGAAACTAGTTCCAAATGTTAAATATATGAGATACCTTTATATGTACACAAGAATCACTGAAAAATATTAATTATTGAGAGAGTTATGATCATTTTTCTAAAACGCGACAGGAACAGACCAGTACTGGTTGAACCTATATTTTCACCCCCTTGATGTGATTTTTATACTTTTCATCCTCTGATAAAATATCCTTAGCTCAAATACCTTTCCAATGGTTCTTGTGTCACTTAGTTTGGACATCGTTTGATGCCTCTATTCATTTTTCTAAATCAGCCTACCTGTGTTGGAGTCTACTGAACTCATTGTTTGAATATACCAGCTTTCTTCCAAAAATGGGTTCTCCATCATAAAGTGATTTTTAGCTCTAGAGTTCTTTTTGAAATATCTTCCTACAAAATTGAACTATCTCTAGTAAAAATATCGTGGTCATTTGACTTCATTTGATATGAGCTCGTATTTTTCTTTAGAACCGTTCACCGTTGAGAATATGGACAAAACAGGGTAAATGACCCACACATAAATCTTTGGTTATGTTATGCAACTTATAAAAGAAAAATTGAAATGAAAGTGGACTTGTTCTGTGACAACCCAACTCTGTATTATGCTAATTAATCTAAATTATGCTTATAATTATGAGCTTGATATAATTTTGAATGCTAATTATATGATTATATGTGTTTTTAAATTTCTATCTGTTCACCGTAGAAAAATCTGTTTAATTTTTTTGTTATAAATTTAAATTGAAGGCCATAGAGGCGACATAAACTAAAATTGGCCATATCATTGTGATTAGCATAATTTTTAGAGCCTATGACGAAATTTAATTGAAAATTGATTCGGATCAAAATAATTAGATTAAATCAATTAAATTGAGTGCAATTGGCTAACCTTAATTGAGATGGTATATATATGAGCTAAACACTTAGGCTCCTCATTTTTTACTTCAAAAACTTGAAGAATACACCCTAGAGAGAGAGAGAGAGCTCAATCTTGGGAATTTGCAAGTGAATTCAAGAAACTAGGAGGATTAGCTCAAGAATTGGCTATAATTGGAAGAGTTAAGGCTCCTAGGTGAGTAATTGAGCTCAAATTCATGAGTTTAAATTTGTAACCAAGTGAGTTCAAGCATGATATGTGTCTAAGGGCAAGAATTAAGTTGAATGTGATGAAATTGGAGTTGTATTAACATGCATGTTGCATTCACCATGATTATGTTCAATTGAGTATAACATATGAAGGATTGAGCATCAAATTCACATGTATGCATAAATTTAATAAGCTTCATGATTTTGAGCATCATTTGTGCCATTTGAAATAGAATTGGAGTCAATAATTGACATGCATAAATAATTCATGAAGTTATGAAGTGTGTATGAAGTTTGAATACATAAACTATGGCCATACCAAGAAGAATGAGAAATAATTTGGAGAATTAGATCATGATTTTGAGTAATTGGTCTCAAATTATCCATGTTCTCATGTCATATAATGCTTTTCCATGTTTTTGTACCAAAAATACGAGTTTTGGACCTTTGAACATCAAGTTTGAGCTTTAAGCACAGTTCTGGAAAACCCAGAATACGACTTGTCCGCTTGAGCAAGGAAAGTGTTGCTCGAGCGTGAAAGCCGAGCTCTCAGAAGTTTTGCAGAGTTTTACACTGTGGCTCGAGCGGCGAACGTGAATTACACGCAACCAGTATTTTTGCAGATCGAAGGGGTCCGCTCGAGCGACCAAAGCTGTGCTCGAGCGGAGAGCCTTATTTCATAAATTTTGAAAAGTCATTTTATGATTCGTTTTCCATTCTCTTTCATTTCCAAGCACTCTTAGGCATGCATTGGACATTCTAAATAAATTAAAAGGCACAAAAGAAGCCTAAGAGCATTAAGCAAATTAAAGAACGGATTGAATTGTATTATGACCCACTATGTTATGAATCATGTAGGGTCAAATGCAAAGACGAATGAAGCACCGGAACACAATGAGTAATACTTTAGTAAAGACATGTTTGTATATGCTATTTTTGTTAATACCACTCATGTGTAAGTGTTCTGGACTTGTGGATTCGAATTATGGATGAGTGTTCTCCTCATCTGATTGTGTAAGACTATAATGAAGTCGATAAGTATGAAATCACCTAAATGGACCAAAGGTCATTTTGAACGAATATGAAATGGGCCTAAAGGTCGTCTTGTGTATTTGATTATATGGACCATAGGTCGTTCTGTATGTACATGAAATGGGCCCAAGGCCGTTTTGCATAATTGCCGAATGGGCCAAAGGCCATTCCGAATAAAGGAATGATTGGACCTGAGGTCATTTTGAATTGAATGTAGAAATGAATGTGAACATGATCATGGATCATGAGTACGCATAAATGCGAAAATGGATTAGTTGGACCCAAGGTCGTTTTGTGTGTAAATTGGATCCATGGTTGCTTTATATATGATGGACCTAAGGTCGTTTCACATATATTGGACCAAAGGTTGTTTTGCCTATAAATTAGACCCAAGGTCGTTTTGCACGTAATGGACCAAGAGTCGTTTTGCAAAGTATGAGATGGACCTGCGATCATTTAGTATATGATATGGATGAGACATATGATATGTTGGACCTAAGATCGTTTTGCGTTGGTATTGACCAACAAGTTTGGGTTATAACCTATGAAGTAAACGAATCTCATTCATGAACTTCTTTACTATGGTATTATTCACTGGGTATTAGCTCACTCTTTATTTATATGTATGTAGGTGAGCAGCGGAATGTCCAGCCTCAACCCCAGTGAGCCATAAGAAACCAAGTTTTGAGGAGTCAACCAAGGTCACTTCACGCAAGATGCTTATTTTTGTTTTTGTTCACTTATGATCTTGTATGGCCAACTTTGTGTATAACCTTGGATTTTGATGTTGATATTGGTTTGAATGATCCAGGATGTATGTAGTACATACATAATATAAATATTGCATGGTGTGAGTTGTTATATATATGTGATAAAGTCTTTGATTAAATCTTTGTAAACATTGCTTCTGCAGTCTGGCCCCCTATTATTAAATATGGTTTGATTTCTGACTGAGGCTATAGGTAATCTCATGATTACTGGCCGGTTATGACTCTAATCCATAGGTGCGGGTTTGGGTCATGACATGTTCTATATTGTGTTCAAATTTCAGAACCTAAAGAGATCCTAAATGGTTTATAAATCCACTCTTTTGGCCTATTATTTTAAAAGAAAAACGCTGAAAATTATTACCTTTGTGTTATTTATTCTTAAATGTTCATAGGCATGATTAAGTGAATTTGTATGAAAAGCATGATTTAAATTATTTTATTTAAATCTATGAGATACATGTTAGTTTATGACACTTGAAACTAATTTTTTGTGTTAAAGTTGTATTTGCATATTCTAGACTTGAAAAGTGTCCTAAGTTGATGGGTTTCCATAACTTTGGGGTATATGGTTGCCACATTTTAATTAATCCTATGAAACATTATTGAATAAATTGGAACTTGCTTAAATCTCAAGTAATGTTATTCTTGCATGATATCACGATTTAAGTGTGATGTTATGTTCTCTTGAGATCAAGAAAATGATTATTTAATAAATTTAGAGTTTCCATGTCGAATATCAGAATGAGTAGATTATGACATAATGGAAGGATGGTGTAACCGTTGTCACGGTATTGAAATGATTATTTAATAAATTTAGAGTTTGCCTTGTTGATTCCTTAACCTGGGATCAATTTTCTGGATGCGTTTCACCCCTGAAGCTTCATAATTGATTTTACAATGTGTTAATTTGTTCCTGTAGTAACTAAAATGCTTCAAGTTTACTTCTTGTCACCTATACGAATTTTATACAAGTGTATATTTGGTGTCTTTCATTGTGTCTGAATTAATTGAGATGTTATCTGATGTGCAAAAGAGGCAAACTGCTCTATTCTCAGCTACATAAACTATGAATGTATTTCTATATAAGCTTTGATCAATATCTCTGAATTCTTTTCTTTATAGAAACTCCCACAGTGAATAAAATTCTGATAAGGTTTTCCTAATTTTGTTGCTTGAACATTGTAAGCATTTCTAACACCAAAATTATAAATTACTTGTTTACGCAAGCTTAAGCAGAAATATCTATAAATTTTCAGGTTGAGGATCTTGCTCGGTTATCATTTCAGACAAGTCATGTCTATATTGATGTGGATGATGGGCGGAAGAAGGTAAATTAGTCATTGGAATTTATTCAGTGTGTTGTGATTTTCTTCAGTACCTGCTGCTAGAACCTGATAAGATGTTTGCTATTATAGGTCACTAATGAAGGGCTGCAGCCAGGCTATTGTGTTGTGCCAAGTGCCAAGAGATTTATTCTTTTGTATTCCTTCTTGAAGAGGAATCTCTCAAAGAAAGTGATGATTTATTCTTTTGACTTTTGCAAAGCAGAAAAGGGCATCTTATTATGTACTGATGGTGCTACTCGGGGTCTTGATATTCCTGTAGTGGTATGTTACTTTCTTTTGCTTGTTGGTCTTGAATAGAGTATGCCAGGAATGATAGTCCTCAACCTTGAACATAAAGAAAAAAAAAAGAGGAAGGGATTTATAGCAGCAGCTTTCAAACAAACAAACTTTTATTTGATGGGAATGGAGTTGATAAGTGCACATGGGAATACTTGCTTCTTTCAAGCTTTTATAATATATTGCTTTGTCTTGATATATAGCTAACTTTTAGATAGAAAGACATTTCACAAAGTTTTTTAAAAAATTAATTAAAAGATAGAATACTTGCAGCTTACATTAAAGATCATGGAGAAAGCAAATGGAGAAACCTCCCAAAAAGAGTTGGAGCTTTTTTTTTTTTTTTTTCCTCTTTATGTTTTCTTCTACGCATTCTTCAATTATTGTTTCACTTAGATCTCTACTTTTTCTCTTTATTTATTTATTTATTTATTTTTGTTTTGATAAATGCAGGTTTGAAGCAATGTGGTAAGATTTACAAGCTTAGATGGTTGAATTATCATAGACCGGATATCAAAAGAGGTAACATATCCCCACTACAACCAAAAAAAAAATTTTAATAACATTTTTTAATAGCATTCTTCTTAAAATGCTATCAAATATAATGCATTTCGCATTGGATGACATGAGTGTTTTTTTTTCCAATGAATGCATATTTTATTGGCAACAGGGCTAGTTGCTCCAGTTATTGCCACGAGTTTAGGTGCCTTAGCACATACATTGGGTACCCTTGTCCCTGTGATAGGAGCAAGTGGGTTTGCTGTTGCAGCTGCAACTACTATAGGAACTGTTGTTGGTAGTTTTAGACAATTTCTGAATAGTTTTGGATATGTTTATATGCATAGTTTTGGATGGTTTAAAATTTTTGGACAGTTTAGAACTCAAGGATATAGTTTTCGAATGTTTGAAATGTATAGACAATTGTTGAATATTTATAATTTATGGATATAGTTTCTTTTTGATGCTTCAAACAATATTTTGCTGGTTGATTGATGTTTTGTGAGGCTTGTTCGTAATGTTTGTTAGATTGTACAAAATTGGTCAAATAGAACCTGCTGAATTTTAAAAAAAAAAAAATTACATATTCTACGACAGGCATAATAAGTCATCGTATTACATATTTTACGATGCGCAAGGAGAGTTGTGATTCGTTCCAAGAATAATTCTTCAAATATTAATTTCATATTCTTACAAAATGTAAACTACATTGGTAAATAATATTAATATTACATAATAATAGTGCAACTCATACAACAAAACTTTACTTACTATACCCTCGTCTGCTTGGTTCAAATTGAGATCACCTCTCATCATATAGCCATATGTGTATTACCCTTAAATAAATGACAATAAACGATACATCATGTTAATTAAATAACAACACCTGATAAAATAATTGTCCTCTATTAATTTCAATTGCTCGTACAAAAAAGTAACATATGCAGATATATATTCACAAGTCTAACCCTAAATCTATAGCATATGTTATATGATAAGGAAATAGGATGAACATAAATAAATAAGATAACGCCCTAATGGCTACAATTTTCAAAGACGATGCTTAGTTACGACAAAAGTGAGTTTTAAACTCAATACAGATAAAGCTCTAGGCTTGAACAAAATAATTACAACAAGTAAACAAAATGAAGCTCTTGCTCCAAGTCCTCCCAAGCTATTGCCTTAGTGGAGGCATATCATCTACACCTGAAAATAGTTTTCCACATAGGGTGAGCCAAAATCCAGTAGAGATACTACAACACAGTTTATAAACTTAACAAAGTTATAAAGTGAATGCATATGCAACGCTCGTGACAAACATTTATATCTCTTTCCAAAACCATGCAATGCTAGATTTATATCACAATTCATAAAGCATCCCCTTTTCAAATATAAAACAAGATTGTGAATACAACTCTATGAACCTCTAGGTACGTGTCTGCAAGTAGACTATACAAGTAATACCAATTTGTCATGTTTACCGATATTAACCGGAAGGCTCGACACCTATCTGCGTGGGTTTCTGGTCTTTCACGAAGAACACACAGGCCAACTTAATATAGTAACCACACCCCCTACCCAAATTCACCAAGTATTCACCTCTTTTTCTCAAAACGACAAACATTTTCAATGTGTTAATATGCAGCAATGCCCAATGCAAATGGATGAGAAAAATAGTTTCAATTCTCCTAGTTCTCATGCAATTTCTACATCAATCATAACTATTTTCCACCGATAGCCCAAAACAGATATCTCTAAACAGATAAATAAATTTTTCGTAAAGATCAACTTTCTCAAATTTCAAGATGTGAGTGGTAATGCATACCCAACACCATAATCCTCATCAATACCAACTCAATTTCACAATTCCAACAATAATTCAATTATCTTTTCAAAATCAACATTTGAAATCTTTAGGGTAAAACCCTCTTTTCTTTATAAATCAACCCCAAGGGTAAAAACACATAATTTTTTCGCAACTCGTTCTCATTTACAATCCCACAATCATTTCCAAGAATCCATTTAAAAACCCCTCTTTTCAGTTTTAACTCAAAACTCTAGATTTGTCCAAAAATCCCCAAATCTCAATATTGTTTTAGAAATTACAAATAACTAAACTAACAATCACAAAAAAGTGCGGAGAATCCTTACCTCAAGCTTAGAAGACAAGAGAAGGAATAAAGAAACTTCAACAACGCTGAAACCCAACTTTGCTTCAATCAAAAGGAAGTTCTCGGAGTGTTCTACCTTTTCATCAAAGGAACACAGGTGAAGAAATCAATGGATCTAGTGTATTTGTAGAGAAAAGGTGAATTTTAGAGAGAGAGAGAGAGAGACAGAGTCTCAATTTAAGGTTTTGACATGTTTATAGAAAGAGAGAGAGATGAAAAAGTGAACCAAAAAGGTGACTTTATGAACTGATATATGCGCAGACCGCTTGAGTGTAGAACTGGTCGATCGAGCGACCAGGCACAATAAGTGTGACCACTCGAGCACACAATGTGACCACTCGAGCGAAGAATACAAACTCCCAAAAGTTTTACAGACATAGAACCATCGCTCGAGCTCAAGAAAAACTGCTCGAGCCAACACCGCTTGAGCGCAAGAAATACCGCTCGAGCGTAGAATGCCAACTCCCAGTATCTTTGCAGGCCTGCAAAAGTACGGAGAGTTCTCAAAAACCGCTCGAGCGCAAAAAGTGTTACTCGAGCGAAGAAACAAAAATCTAGGTAGAAATAATTTTGAAAAACTAACTCCCGACTTATTCCAAACGCAACCAAAACACTCCAATAACCAGACTCAATGAGGAATAAGGAGAAATAAGACATGAACAATCGTAAAAGGCAATAAAACCTAGATCTAGAACATCAAATGAGTCGGGTCTAAACTAGAATCGCTATAACCTCCCCTACTTAAGGAATTTTGTCCCCGAAATTTTAAATCAACAACAAAACCATGATTAAACCAATTACAACAATGATAGTAAATCAAATTCATCACCATGACCCATCCACCAGTCATTCATTCTCATTACCATCATGAACACATGCTCATTACTGAATATATAATTCACATTTCCAAAACATATACAATGTTTATATTAAATAAGCAAAACAAGATTTTCAATACAAGTTTAAACATCAACAAATAGGTCGGAATACTTCTCATGGACTTCCACCTCATGTTCCCAAGTCGCCTCATCAACCCCGTGGTGTCTCCACAACACCTTTACCAATGGAACTATCTTGCCTCGCAAGACTTGGTCTCATGTATCTAGGACTCTAACCGGCCTCTCCTCATACGAGACATCCTTATTTACCTTTAACTTAGTCCAATTCAACACGTATCCAACACGTGTGATGGATCCAGTTTGTACTTTCGAAGCATAGAGATGTGAAACATGTCATGAACCCCGGAAAGCTGTGGTGGCAGGTCAAATGATAAGGTACCTCCCCAATCCGCTCTAGGATCTCAAAAGGCCCAATAAATCTAGGAGACAACTTTTCGCTCTTCCCAAATCTTATCAAATCCTGTCTAGGTGATATCTTCAAGAAGACGTGATCTCCTACCTCAAAGGATAATGGTCTTCCCCTACGGTCAGCATAGCTCTTCTACCAACTCTAAGCTGTAATCAACCTCTTACGGATAAGTGGAACATTCGTTGTCGTTTCCCGAACCAACTTTGGACCTATCATTGGTGCATCACCCACCTCAGCCTAACACACATGAGATCTACACAGTCGGCCATACAAGGCCTCAAATAGTGCCATGCCAATACTCGATTGGAAGCTATTGTTATAAGCAAAATTCACTAAAACCAAGTGCCTCTTCCACGACCCCTTAAAGTCAATAACATAACCCTAAAGCCTATCCTCTAGAATCTAAATAGTACGCTCTGAGGATGATAAACGGTACTAAAAGTCAGTCTAGTGCCTAAAGCATTCTGTAGGCTCTGCCATAATCGCACCATAAAATTCGAATCTCTATCCGAAACAATAGTTACAGGGACCCTATGTAGTCAAACAATGTCCCTAACATAAAGGTCTGCAAGAAAATCTACTGAGTCACTCGCGTGCATAGGTACAAAGTGCGTTGACTTAGTTAACCGATCAACTATCACCCAAATGGCATCATTACCCTCGTTAAGTCCTCGGAAGACCCATAACAAAATCAATCATGACATGCTCCCACTTTCACTCAGTTATAGGCAAGGGATGCAACAAATCCGCTGGCCTTTAATGCTCGACCTTTACTTATTGACAAGTAAGGCACCTCGATACAAACACGGCTACATCCTTCTTCATTTCCTTCCACCAAAACTAGTGACTAAGGTTGTAATACATCTTTGTGCCACTCGGGTGTACTGTAAAGTGTGAATGGTGAAACTCTCGGAGTACCTCCTCTTGACAAGACTCTGACACGTAAAGACGGTTAAGGTACCTAATACTCGAGTCAGAATACACGTTCAAGCCCTTCTCTACCTTTCCACTAGAGATCTTTTTCCGTAGGGTTTCTACCTCAAGATCACCCCTCTGTACTTTTATAACCCTGCTCACAATTGTAGGTTGTGCAACTGTAGTAAACAAAGCCAACTTAATGGACTCACTAAGATGCAAGTCAAAGTCACCAATGGCACCCAACATCTCCCATTCCCAGATGACCATACTAGCTATTCTACTAAAGGATTTCCTACTCAAGGCATCAGCCACTACATTGGTCTTCTCCAGACGATAGTGCAACTCAAAATCATAATCCTTCATAAACTCCATCCATCTCCTTTGCCTCAAATTCAGATCTTTTTGTGAAAACAGGTACTTCAAATTCTTGTGATTGGAGAATACCTCAAACTTCTCACCATACAAGTAATATCTCAGAATCTTCAAGGCAAAGATCACCATCGCTAGCTTTAGATCATGAGTAGGATAGTTTCTCTAGTGTGTTTTCAACTGGTGTAAGCCATAAGCTACTACCTTCCCTTCTTGCATCAAGACACAACCCCAACCTTCCCAAGATGCGTCACAATACACGAAATAGCCCAAACCCCACACCAGAATAATCAACACTAGAGCAGTGGTAAGTCTAACCTTAAGTTCTTGGAACAACTTCTCACAAGTCTCACTCCACTCAAACTTGATTCCCTTCCTCGTCAATCTAGTCAAGGTAAAGCTAATCTAGAGAAATCCTTCACAAAACGGCAATAATACCCAGTTAACCCCAAGAAATTATAAATCTCAAAAGCGTTTTTAGGTTATTTCCAATCTTGTACTGCTTCTATTTTGAAAGAATCCACAGTTATCCCTTCCCCAGATACCAATTGGTCTAAGAACTTCACTTCCTTCAACCAGAATTCACACTTCCCGAACTTAGCATACAATTTGTGGGCTCTAAGCAACTAAAGCATAACTCGTAAGTGTTCCTCATGTTTTTTCTCAGAGGGCGAGTAAATCAAGATGTCATCAACAAAGATAACCATGAA